CCAGCAGCTCCTGCTGGGCGGGCTGGGCGAGTGACTCCTCCCTTGGGGCTCTGGCACCCCAGCCAGGAGTGCTGCACCCACCTCTGGGCACCCTGGCAGAGTGCAGAATAACCTGTGACCCCTGTGAGTCTTAACAAAGGAATTGACCCACGTCAAAAAAACTTACCTGTCGGCACTTAATTTTATTTTTCCTTATAGCTCTGATGTGTGTTTATTAAAAGAATTAGCAAATAAATGCAGGACTTGGAAGTAACTTCCCCCACAAGTTGATGGAGATATGGCAGCACTGAGAGAACTGGATAAAGGATCTGAGAGTAGAAGGAAATGGGCCAGAGAAAGGATGGCTCATGGCAAAACAATTTGATCAGGAAGAGGACACAGCAAGGACATCCAGGAAAGAAACCAAAAAAAGGGAGGCACAGCCTTTTCCCTGGGCTATACCCCTTACTTCCTGTTTATATTTTAAAGCCTTTGGACAAACTCCTCTTTCTTGCCTTCTCCTCTCTATTTCTCTCCTTTTGTTCCTGTGGGTTGTGGTACTTTGGGTTTGTAAACGGATAAAAATACCAGGCTTTGAGAAATACAGGTGCTGTGGGGGAAAGGATTGTTCCAATAGTTAGTCTGAAATATTTCTGACAGGAATTCAGTTTAGGGTTTGAAACTGAGGGAATATCCCCGTTCAAGCTGAAAACTGAAGAGACTCTTGAGAAAACTGGTAGATTTAGAAATAATTTCAATTTTGATGCAGCTTTACCTGCATCTATTTTTTTTTTTTTTTTTTTTTTGGTTGGTTTATGGGAGTCATGAAGCAAATCCAGTCTGGATTATGAGTCCAGCTTTGTCAGGTGAGCTCTGAACACAGAATTCCATCTCCAGCTAATGCTGTGCTGTTCTCTCCCCAGCCTGAAGCTCCGCTCTCTCCGAGTGAACGTGGGACAGCTCCTGGCCACCATCATGCCCGACCTGGACCTGCAGCAAGTGAATTATGACATCGATGTGGTGGATGAAATCTTGGGGCAAGTGGTAGAACAAATGCATGAAATCAGCAGTACTTAAAATCTCCATGTTTTAGCAGAGTTTTATTGCTCTTCCATTATAACCTGTAGGTTCCAGACTGTAAACAGGGCTGCTTCACTTTATATATTTGACATAGGTGGATCTATCAGTGTAAATATTCCACATTTAGCTGTTCACTTCCTCCTCAAGGAACACTGTCAATACTGACCCACCCTGATGTACTTAATTAAGGATTTTGCTTTGGAAATGTATTTGTAATTAAATTTGCAGATATTTTTACTATTAGGAATCTTAATACTTTTCTACAGACACCTTTTGGTTGACTTTGGATCTTATATAAGAATTAATACCTGTGAGTATTTCCTCTTCTAAAATAGTGTAATATCTTAGAAATGCAAAAAAAAAAAAAAGAAAAGTTGTATCCCACAGTGTTGTTCCATTGCTCCCAGCAGTGTTCTGTGTTGCATTCATGGGATAGAAATGTAAGTAGTAGGTGAGAATTTGGGCAATATTTAGGGAATATTTGTGTGGTGCTGCCACAAGAAAGGTTCTTTAAGGGTTTTGTCCCGAAAACTGGAGATAGACCAGTTGGATGGAAGCACTTGGAAAAGGAGGGATGTTTCTTATCTGTGGTGTAAACAACAGGGTAAAAATGTTCAGCTTCCACAGCTTTAGACAGTTTTATTATAGGCAAGAAAAGGGAATTCCTCTTTTTCGCATGTCCCCTTTTAGAATTGTGTGCTCTAAATCTTCCCATTTTTCCATGATCATGGGAAAACCTGGAAGCAACGGTACCAAGAGAAATTCCCAGCCAGCAGCAGGGGTTTCTTCCCAAGACATTGAGAATGACAAACAGGGTGACAAAGACAGCAAATCCATCTTTTCTTCTCTGGTGGGATTGGTCACCCAAAGGGTGATCCAGAAAGATTATTCTTGCTTTGAAGTTCAAAAAATAATTTAATTAGTGTTCAATATGTTAATATGTTAATTCTTAGGAAGTATCTTTTTTTTTTTTTTTAATAAAGCCAAGATTGTTGGCTTTTGCACTGCTACTGTCCTGAGTTAATCCCTTGGTGTCCCTTTTTTAGTTGTAGTTCGGTGCAATTCTTTCCAAGGACAGTATTTCAATGAAGATCTCTCTCTATGCCAATAATGGGAATGCACTACTGTTGTACTTTATAAAAGAGAAATTGAATGTTTGATTTGGGAAGAGGTGGCTGTAATATAACTACGTATGACTTTTGCAAAGTTTATATTTCCCATTTCTTGGTGTGTAGCTTTTCCATTTCTTAATCATTATTTATTACGTTTCATCAGACTGTAGCTGAATTTCTTGTAGACAGCTGGCAAAATAGAGCACATGTCTATATTAAAAATGGCAAATTTACAATGTACATTTACACTTTGGACAACGGTGGACTTATGGAAATGGTTTCTATTTACTTGTTAAAATGTATTTTTTGTAAAAAATAAAAATATATAAATCGGAGTTTGCAGGATCCCAACTTGTGTTTGTTTCTAAATAAAGCCTGTGCAGAGTGGCTGAAGTGTTTGGTGTTAGAAGAAAGCCTGGCTCAGTCTGGTGTTGGATTGGGCACACCTGTATGGAAATGGGATGGGAATGTCCTGGATATGGAAAAAGCACTGGTGTAATCCAGAGGGTATTAATGGAATGGAGCTGAATTTCAGGAAGTTCTGCTCTTGATACATGGATGGGCTTCCTTGCCTTCAGAAAATCACCGAGCACATGGACTTGCACCATCCTAAGGCAGTTCTACTGCTGTGGAACTCCTGAGGACTTTTGTAAAAATAATTTTAAAATCCCCTATCCCATACACATCCTCCTCCCTCAGCTGGAAAAGAGATGGAGAAGGAAGAGGTTGGATTGATCCAGAGGTTGGTGGGGACTGGGGTTAAGATTGATGGAGATGATGAGGAGAGGACTGGATGTGTCAAGGCTTAATTCAATAAATGGTCTCAGTGCCAAAGGAGGGAGTTCCCACAGGATAACTCACCTAAGACAGGCACAGCTGGCAAACAGGAAGGGGAAAGGTTTGGAATGAGCACAGCACAGGAGAAGATCCCAGTGTGCAGAGAGTGGGAAATGCAAATGCAACACCAGGAAGGTGCCAGCCTTGGTGAGGCTGATCCGGGTGAGCTGTTTGTGCAAAAATTCCCATCATGGCAAACTGGGGGAAGGATTGTCCAGAGAGTAGGACAATGAGAGCAAGCTGTGCCACAGGGATGTGACAACAAAGACTTCTCCCATGGAAGGCTGAGAGCCAAGGAGATGACTCCAGAATTCAAGGTAGGACAATGAGAGCGAGCTGTGCCACAGGGATGTGACAACAAGGACTTCTCCCATGGAAGGCTTAGAGCCATGATGACTCCAGAATTCAAGGTAGGACAATGACAGCGAGCTGTGCCACAGGGATGTGACAACAAGGACTTCTCACACGGAAGGCTTAGAGCCATGATGACTCCAGAATTCAAGGTAGGACAATGACAGCGAGCTGTGCCAGAGGGATGACAACAAAGACTTCTCCCATGGAAGGCTAAGAGAATTGGGATTGTTCAGCTTGGAGAAGAGAAGCTTTGGGGTGACTTCATTGTGGCCTTCCAGCATGTGAAGGGAGGTGACAAATATGAAGACAGACAATTTCCAGGGGATAGAGTGACAGGACAAGGGGGAATCGCTTCAAACTAAAAGAAGAGGCGGTTTAGATTGAATATTAGGATGAAATTGTTCCCTGGGATGGAATTCCCAGAGAATTGCTCCTGGATGCCTGGCAGTGCCCAAGGTCAGGCTGGATGGAGCTTGGAGCAGCCTGACACAGTGGAAGGTGTCCCTGCCATGGCAGAGGTGGCATTAGAAGATCCCTTCCACCCCAACCATTCCATGATTCTGTGATGTAGAATTAATCTTCCCTCGTCCTCTGCTGGGTGAGGCCGTGTGGGGCCTGGGGAGCTCTCAGAGCCCGTTCTGGGCTCCAACCCTGCCCAGAGCTTTTCTTCCCTTGGGCAAGAACTGAAAGCAGAAGCTGTTTTCTCACAACGTAATCTGCCATTTATATTACGTTTTTGGGAAGTTTGGGAGACACGTTACCCGTTCAGACTTTTATATATTTACACCAATCAAGCACAACAACGCCTGTTGTGAAAAATGCGTATTTTACGATTGGCTTTTCGCCAATGTTACAATGAATATTATGTGTGTAATGTTAGAAAGTTACGCTGTATTAATTATCTTATGTAGTGCGTTAAATGTAGTTTTAGGTTGCAACATAATGTTAAAATAGAAACTCTGCGATATAGGATTTGTTATAAGCTCAAGCAAGAAAATGAGATAATTAAGAAACTCTTCACACAGAGATGTCAGCAAAGGGGGCCCATAAAAAGTCACAGACTCCGTATCAGAAAAGACAAACATTCTTCCACCTTCTCTCAGTCTTTGTAAAACCAACAAGATTAAAGAAAAAAAGTTAACTAAAACCAAAAAAGTTCTTAATTTGCAAAAAATTTATTAATCATATATAAAATATATGAATATGCAACAAGGTACTGCCTTTAAGGTTATTCCTTTGTTCACAAAGTATACTTTCCATAACTTAGTGTCCAAGAGCATCCAAACGTCCATAATTCTTTTCTTTTTATTGTCTCATAATTGTCCTCACTCTAAACTTTATCACTCTAATTACATCTTTATTTTAATAACCTTTTTACTATTATTAAACTTTTAAAACTTTAAAAACCAAGCGAGTTGCGTTTTTTCCGCGCCGCGAAATTAAAAAATTAACAAAATTAACAAAAACGAAACAAAACAAAAAACATCTTTTATGAGGAAGTGCAAGCATCGGATTGTTGTTGGTTTTTTGGTTTTTTTTAGGTTTATTCTGCTGTTTTTGCGGGTTTTTTTTCCCCTGAGGGCGGCTGAGGCGGCGCGCGGGGCGGGCGCGCGCATGCGCGGGGCGCGCGAAGGCGGGAGCGCGCGGGAGCCGCGGGCGGGCCGCAGGTGAGGGCGGGAGGGGAGCGGGGGAGCCGCGCCGGGATTTGGGAATTTTGGGGATCTGGGGAATAGGATTGGGCGTCCCCGCCGTCTGGAGAGCGGGATTGGGGATCCCCGCGGCTCCGGGAGCGGCCAGCGGCGCCTCTGCCTTTCCCCTGCCCGCGCCGGGCCGCCCGTGCTCGCGTGTTGTTTGAATTGCAAGCAGGGTTGTTACCCCAAAATAAGTTTTTCTTTTAAGTCTTAAACCGATGCACGGGGCTTGATACCGCCCTCTTGCAGTCCCCAAACAGGAACTTTGGCCATAGCGATCACAACTTTTAGAAACAGGCTCAAAGCATCCTGTCAGTGACTGCGGTGCAATTCCCGGCGCTGCCGGCGGTGCCTGGGAAATGGGCACAAAGTCTGGCCAAAAGGAACAAGAATTGAGTGTGGGAGCAGGAATTGGTGTGGGAGCAGGAATTGGTGTGGGAGCAGGAATCGGTGTGGGAGCAGGAATCGATGTGGGAGCAGGAATTGGTGTGGGAGCAAGAATTGATGTAAGAACAGGAATTGGTGTGGGAGCAGGAATTGATGTGGGAGCAGGAATTGATGTGGGAGCAAGAGCTGATGTGGGAGCAAGAATTGATGTAAGAGCAGGAATTGATGTGAGAGCAGGAACTGCTGTGGGAGCAGGAATCGATGTGGGAGCAGGAATTGGTGTGGGAGCAGGAATTGATGTGGGAGCAGGAATTGGTGTGGGAGCAGGAATTGGTGTGGGAGAAGGAATTGATGTGGGAACAAGAATTGAGTGTGGGAGCAGGAATTGGTGTGGGAGCAGGAATTGGAGTGGGAGCAGGAATTGATGTGGGAGCAAGAGCTGATGTGGGAGCAGAAATTGGTGTGGGAGCAGGAATTGATGTGAGAGCAGGAATTGGTGTGGGAGCAGAAATTGGTGTGGGAGCAGGAATTGGTGTGGGAGCAGGAATTGATGTGGGAACAAGAATTGATGTGGGAACAGGAATTGATGTGGGAGCAGGAATTGGTGTGGGAGCAGGAATTGATGTGAGAGCAGGAATTGGTGTGGGAGCAGGAATTGATGTGGGAGCAGGAATTGATGTGGGAGCAGGAATTGATGTAAGAGCAGGAATTGGTGTGGGAGCAGGAATTGATGTGGGAGCAGGAATTGATGTAAGAGCAGGAATTGATGTGAGAGCAGGAATTGGTGTGGGAGCAGGAATTGATGTGGGAGCAGGAATTGAGTGTGGGAGCAAGAATTGATGTAAGAACAGGAATTGATGTGAGAGCAGGAATTGATGTGAGAGCAGGAATTGATGTGGGAGCAGGAATTGATGTGGGAGCAAAAACTGATGTGGGAGCAGGAATTGATGTGAGAGCAGGAATTGATGTGAGAGCAGGAATTGATGTGAGAGCAGGAACTGCTGTGGGAGCAGGAATCGATGTGGGAACAAGAATTGATGTGGGGTTTGTTCTGTTCTCTCCAGGAGACATGAAGGTCATCACGTGTGAAATAGTGTGGCATAACAAGGAGCCGGTTTACAGCTTGGACTTCCAGCATGGGGCGGATGGGAGCATCAACCGCCTGGCCTCGGCAGGGGTGGACACGGCCGTGAGGGTGAGCGAAACCTGCCTCTGGAGCCTCTGCAGGGCCTGGGGGTTGTCCAAATTAGGGGTTGGTTTCGTTATCCAAAATACCGGGTTGGTTTCCTTATCCAAAATACCGTGTTGGTTTCATTATCCAAAATATGGGTTGGTTCATTATCCAAAATACTGGGTTATTGGCAGGTACATGCCAAGGGGAGTGGATGGTTTCAGGAAATAGTGTAAGATTGTATAGGTGTTTGTAGAATTATAGGGTGGTTTGGGTTGGAACAGGACTCAAAGCTCATCCAGTGCCACCCCTGCCATGGCAGGGACACCTCCCACTGTTCCAGGCTGCTCCAGCCCCAGTGTATTTAATCCTAATATTCAATCTGAACCTACTCTCTTAGTTTGAAGCCACTCCCCGTTGTAATTTCAAACTCTTGTAAATAGACTCTGTAGTAGTTTATTCCAGTTGTCTCAGATAAAACTTTTTCCTTCCTTATTGTAAAATTGACCTCTTCTTCCCTGATGGTACCTATGTTTCAGGGATATGTTAATACCTATATTAGGGCTAGAAAAATGTCAGTTTTCTTTATCATAAAATATGCTCCCTGGTAGGAGGGTGCAGTGAGGTGGGGTGAGGCTCTTCTACCATGTCCCAGTGACTCGTGGTTGCCAGAAACTGATGGCTTGGGAAGACTGAGCTGGAGCAGAGCTGGGCAGAGCTACAGAATAAAGCAGGGATTTATTCAAGGATCTCCTCCATGGATCCACCTTGGGCAGCACCAGAGCCCAGCCAGGGCTGCACCCAAATGACCCAAAATGGTCCCAAAATGCACGAGCGCTCCCGGGGCTCTCCCTGGGATCAGTTCTGCTCCATTGGCACCTTGGAGTTCATTGTCCCATTCCAGCTCCAGCCCATCAGTCCCACCCTGCTTGTTTTTCTCTCTCCAGCCCACGCTGTTTGTGCTCCTGGCCTGAGGTTTGGATCATTTGTCCTTGGTGCCCAGCTGGAGCAGGAATTGTTTTGTCTCTGCTCTGTGCACAGAGCTCAGCATCCCATCATGTGAAGCTCAGAACTGCACATTAAATCAGCACAGAATGTGAAAAGTATAAAAGCTCAAAGCTGAGGCATTACCAAAGGAAGGGAGGAGAGGAAATGGCTTCAAATGGCACCAGGGGAGGCTCAGGTTGGAGACTGGGACAGAAAATTTCCCTGGCAGAGTGGCCAGGCCTTGGGATGAGCTGCCCAGGGAGCTTTGGAGTCACTGTCTGTGGGAGTGCTCAGGAGGAGTCTGGATGTGGCCCCTGTGGACAGCGTTTGGGGTGATGCTGGTGGCACTGGATTATCCTGGAGGTCCCTTTCCACCTTGCTGAGTCTGTGACACCCCATCCTGCCCTGGAAATCTGTAACACTCTCCTAACTAGATCTGGAAAGTGGAGAAAGGCCCGGATGGAAAAGCCATCGTGGAGTTCCTGTCCAACCTGGCGCGCCACACCAAGGCCGTGAACGTCGTGCGCTTCTCTCCCAGCGGGGACATCCTGGCCTCAGGAGGGGATGGTGAGAGCTGCTCCTCCTCTATCTCATCCAGCAGCATTTTGAAGTTAAACTAAATGAAATCCACCTGAATGAGCAAAAGGGAGTGGGAATTAAAGCAGCTTGCTCTGGTTTCTTCTACAGATGCTGTCATTTTGCTGTGGAAGCTGAATGACAGCAAAGAGCTGGAGCCGTTGGTTTTTCAGGATGAAGATGAAGCTCAGCTCAACAAGGAGAATTGGGCAGTCATTAAAACTTTGAGGTAATTTATTATTTGCTGAGTTTGTTTTTTTTTTCAGTGGTTTTGTTTTCTCAGTGGTTTTTAACTTTTCAGTTTGTGTAGAACTCCAGCACTGTCTACAATTCGTTTGCTCTGATATTAATCCTTCTAACTCCCTGTTAATGGCACTGAGAAAAAGGAGGGAGAGGGACATGTTAAATAATCAGGTGGTGACAGGACAAGGACAATGGTTTTAAGCTGAAGGAGCAGTTCCTAGCAGCTGCTGAGGTTGATGAGTGCTTGAAGCACCAGCAGGAGTTTTTATTTGCCTCTTGATATTTTTTTTAAATCTAAAAAATTCATAAAACTCATATTCGCACATAGCTTTTAATTTTAAAATTAATAATTGGTTTCTCCTGCCTTCTAGAGGCCACTTGGAAGATGTGTATGATATTTGTTGGACCTCAGATGGAAGTTACATGGCATCTGCTTCTGTGGATAACACAGCAATCATGTGGGATGTCAATAAAGGTAAATGCTGCAGTTATCCTTGGAATTCCAGATCTGCTGGAAGTGCCTCATGGCATTTCTCCCCAAAAGAATGAGAAACATCTTTTTTGTTTGTGAGGCCCCTCTGTTTACAGATATAAAATATTCTCAGGCCAACAGAATTTACACCTGAGGAATCTGTTCTCCTTGGAGTGTTTAGGAAATAACTTCACACATTTTTTACCCCCCAAAACTTGCACAAACATCTCCTATATTCCTTGCTCCACTTTTTGGTGTTGTGCAGAGTGGCCTGAGCTCTGTTTGTGTCTCTCCTTTTGAAAAACTGTTTATTTTCTTTGAAATTTGTCAGCTTCTGGTATTTCTTTGCAAGAAAGCATCACTTAAATAATAGGAAAAATCCCACCTGTGGCCTGTATTCAACAGAATATTTCTGAAACTCTCTGTGACTTTGTCTCATCAATGTTTTGGCTCTCAGATCTTCCCTTGTGGATCATCAGTGGAGTCAGAGAGCTCCTGCTTTTGCTGATATTAATCCAATATTAATGCTAATTAATTATTAAGTTGTAGTGAGCAAACTTTAAACTGGCACTTTAAAAGCAACTTTTGATGATACTCTTATCAGCCACTATCCAATGAACACTTTTATGTTTAAAAAAATATTTCCCTAAATTTTGAAGCTTTTTTTTTTGTCTTGTTTGATGTCTGAAATATTTGGAAACACCTTGGAATTTATGATCTGAAAGCTGTTTTTAATTTCAGGACAGAAAGTTTCAATATTTAATGAGCACAAGAGTTATGTCCAAGGAGTAACCTGGGATCCTCTAGGCCAGTATATTGCAACCCTGAGTTGTGACAGGTGAGCCGTTGGTCTGAGTGTTTTTCCTGAACATTCCTTTTTCCAGGAGGATGAATTAAAAGTGTGCCAGATTTGTTTTATTCACTTTGTTGTGTAAGCAGGTTGATATGAAAGTAAAATGATATTTTAGTTAATTTTTTGACTTGTGCTCTGTGATTCCTGCAGTCTCTCTTAGCAGCAAATAAACTTTTGTAGGAGTTTTCTTTTAGGAATTAAGTTTTTTATGTTATTGATCATTATTGATACACTTAAGAGAGTGCTGCATGGTTGTGTTTATGAGCTGATAAATTCATGCTTGCGGATGGAGCAGCCTGGGACAGTGGAAGGGTTGGAATCAAATGATCCTTAAGGTCCCTTCCAGCCCAAAACATTCCATGGTGATATGGCTGATGGAGATGTAGTTAATTGTTTCTAAGGGGAGTTCCCACTCTTGAGGAACCCACAGTGCAGGTAGGCACAGCCTGGCTGTTCCCCGTTTCTTAATTCCCTTATTCCTCCATAAATCCATGTGCTGGGACTTCCCAAACCTTGTGGAGTCCAGGCATTGTAAGGGGTTCATTGGTTCTTTAGTCATTAAAACACATCTCTCTGGTGGTGTCTCGTGAGGAGTATTTTAATTAATGGTTAATTGGTGATCCAGATTTATATTTGGAGGTGCTGACTGAGAAGGGAGATCCTGGGGCATTTTTGGGAAACTTGGGGTGAAAGGAAGCTTTTCATAGGAAATGCTGGGAGAACTGGGATTGTTCACCTGGAGAGAAGAACCTTTGGGGTGAGCTCAATGTGGCCTTGCAGGGCCTGAAAGAGCCCCAGGAAGCCTGGAGAGAGACAATTTCCCAGAATTCAGAGAATCACAGGGTTGGAAGAGACCTTCAAGATCATCAACCCAGCCCCAGCACCTCAACCCAGCCCTGGCACCCAGTGCCACATCCAGGCTTGGTTAAACACACCCAGGGGTGGTGACTCCACCACCTCCCCGGGCAGCCACTCCAGAACTTTGTCACCATTTCTGTAAAAACTTTTCCCTGATGTCCAACCTGTATTTCCCTGGGTGCAGCTC